ACCTTATTACGCAAACAATTAGAAATCATGTCTATAGGACTTGTAAAGCTATAATCTGCATGTACATTAGTCCAGAAATTACAACATTGCTTATATAATACTAGAATCATATAGAAATCATGCCTATAGGACTTAATGATTCTAATACGTCTTAATTCTGTCTACTGCCTAACCAGAAATATGTTTGCATGCTTTCGTGCTTATGTGTGGAGGTTAACTTGAGCCTTTTATTGCTATTATATGTAGTCCTATCTGTTTTGAATGTCGCCTAGTTTTATCATTTTTGAGCAACCTAAGTAAAGTCTAGAACCACCTAATAGTAGGTCCAAATCCTCCTGGACCATAGGCATGGTACGGGTAGTGCACGCATAGGGTACGACTTAGAATTAAATTAGGACGCCTTTGAGTAAACAACTTCAACATAGTAATTAGGTACCTGGAGATGATAGTCTGTGTCCGCGAAATAATACGAGCAACCTCTACCTTAAGAGAGTTGCAAAATATTATTTATGTTGCATGGGGTGATCCTTTAGGCCAAAAAAACTTATGATCCCCCCCCCCCTTTATGTGCGTATTATTCACACTTAGTCATTTAACATAGATCAATGTAGGTTATCTTTGTAGTTATTAAGACTTGTACCGATTCTCATATGTTTTAATAAGACTCTACAACTTCTGAATTTCCCTTTTATTTATTTGATCACCTAGTTTAATTACATAATCCACATAGTCTAAACTTCGATCAGGATCCACAATTGTGGACCTCGAATAGTGCCTAACACCTTCTCTTTGAGATAATTTAAGCCCTTACCCGATCTTTGGTGGCGTTGACTAAGTCAAGCAGAGTTATTTGCATATAGGTGCCCTAACACATCTTAATAATCGTTATGTGGCGACTCTTTCTCTTAATACCCATTAAAAGAGTTGTCACATGTCGAAACCAGCTTTCGCGAGAAAATAAGGCACGACACTCAGATCTCTGGAGGCCTTGACTATACTTGATCTCAATAGAACTCAGTGTAGCCAGCCTCAAAAGGACTCGGAAGCCTCACATTCACACATCATCGTACGCAACCACACAAGGGCTCGATAATGCTTCATATAATGTCTCATCATACCCAACTAATCAGTGGTTACACAATAGGTGTCGTGCCCCGCTGACTATAGCGCGGCTCGGTATATATATATATATATATATATATGTAAGTGCAATGTAGTACCAGTTTCAAGAGATAAGAAGTTTAAACTCAGAATGGATCATACTATCCGTCTCCTACCACATGATACCTGTTGGAAAAAATGTGGGCTTTGAAAGAAATGCTACCGGTAAGAATGCACAAGAATAGGATAACATCATTGAGAGAACTTAGAACTTACCAGACCTTACAGTGCATGAATCATTTAGAAAGAATGGGTAACTTACGCTAATTTGTGCCATGAAGGAGGGTTGCCATCCATACCTTATTGAAGAGCTAAATTTACTTCTATGGTGGTTAAATTGGCCTTTAATGAATCTTTAGAATCAATATCACCAGATGATAGGTGTTACAACAACGATTCCAAGTTTTTTCAAGCTAAATCCTGCTAGATTCAGATTCACCTTCGACTTTGCCTTGATTTGTTTGGAAATTCTAAAGGGGCATTGAGAGTATTTGAGAGGGATTATTTTGGTGATATATTCTAGAATGAAAGATAAGGAACCTCACTTTACTTTTATACTGTTACCAAGCATAGAAATTTCCGACACTTCCACATGCAAAATGGGTCGCCCCACCCCGGTTGCAGTGCCCGATGAGACATTTGGCACAAACTCACTAGAATATGTGACTTTCTTCTTGCCTTAATTGGTCACTAGTTGATTGGCCACGCTAGAAACCACACTTACCACACTTTATTTTGGTGTGGGATGTAACATTTATGAAAATCAATATCTTAAATCTTAGTTCGGGGCTCAACCCCGTTCCCAAATGGAACTTCCTTTTCAAGAATTCTGAGAACAAAGCGACTTGTTCGAGCTCCTCTGTGGTTGACTTCGTTGGATCCTTTTCTTCTGGTACCTAGAAAGTTCTAAGTACCTGATAAAGATCCAATGACTCCTTTTCTCCATCACCTTCAATCGGAATGGAAGCGGGCAACTATTTTAGCAAGTTTGCTTCGTTCAACAACGATCTAATCTTGTTCAGTAGCAAGTTCTTCTTTAGCTTGGATCTTCTTTTGCAAACCCTCGGAGACAAGGAGGTTAGCTTGAAAAGTTAAAAATTAAAGTTATTAAGGGCTATGTCTAGCAAGAGAAAAGGGAATAAAGAAGTATGAGATGATACCTGAGTAGAGAAGTGCATGTTGTTATTGATCAGGCACTCTGCAGAAAGAATTTCCATCTTCAACCGGTCCTTTCGAAGCCAAGACCTTCAAGTAGTCAGCAACTTCCACCGGCTTGGAGAGTAAATGACACTCATTCAAAATCGAGAGAGTGACGCTACATTTTCCATCAGGTTTTCAAATGGGTGCCTAAAAAATATTCTCGATGTTCCCATAATCAGGTGACCGAGGGGAACAAACATCTTCCATTCATTCAGTTGGAGCCAGCGGCGAGACAGGAGCTGATTCTACTGCAATTGGTGTTGAAGTAGAAGGTGGAGGAATCTCAGAGATAGAATTCCTCTGATCGAAAGCAACAAATGGAGCCCGAAAACGAGATTCTGTGTTTTCAACTACTTTCATTTCTGTGAAGAGTCCTTGAATTTTGTTAGTTGGACATCCGGTTGAGTAGGGGGATTTTCTTCTTTTATTCTAAAGAGAAGCTGCTTCATATCCATCGGTTTCTTCTTCATCAAGGACCATTGTGGTTGGTCCAACTGGAGCTTCTTTTGTTGAAGGTTTCTTCTAAGTCTCAGTCGTGGAGGTATGTCTTATTTTTTATTTTCGTTAGCTTGGGTACTCAAGGAAGATGGACCTTCATCACAAGTAAGAGCGGCATCACAAGCCCTCTTCTGGTCAAGGATGACTTGGATTTGTTGATGGGCCACCATTGGGTCATGAGAAATCTCAACAATGGGGTAAATAGAAGACCCCTTCGGAAAGCCTGTGCATTATGAAGGAGAGTTAGCAAATTCGTACTCTGTCATGTTGGAGATTGAAAAGGGAAAAGAGAAGTTTTACTTACCATTGTTCTTGGCCTTCCAGTTAAACTTGGATGGAACTTCTTTCCACCTACGTGAGTCTGGGGTGGAAACATCTAAAATCTTTTGTACCTCTTGGGTTAGGTTTCGAACTGATAATGGAACTCAACGGGATAAGAAAAATAAAAGTTATCCAAAAAAAGGGATTTTATTTAATGCAATAGAAAAAAATATCTGAAAAACTTACGAGAACCATTCCAAAATACAGGGATAGAGGGTACTGTCACCGGAAGGGTGTCCCCGGTGGCGATGACAACGAACCTTTCTATCCAATTACGGGCATTATTATCATCGATACTAGTAAAGATGGCATCCGCGTTTGCTGAGTTTGATCATGCCTCCACAAAAATTCTTAGAGGAGTAGAGGTTGATCGAATGAGCAAGAATGAGGATTTCTTTGGACCAGGAGCATAATACCCGAAGGCAAACCACCATACGCCATAGTAATGGGCTTACATGAGCCGAGCAGATTTGATAGTGGTGGCCAAAACTCTAAAATAATGGGATTAATGTCTTGACACATTCTTAAAGTAAAAGGATATATATATAAACGTACATGAACCCTTTGTTTGTTAAAGGTGATCCTTTCTACTTCATTGGGGGCTAAGATCTCAATTTTTTTCCAGCCGCAATCTTCCTTCACAATGGGAATACTAGCAGGGTGGATGAAAGAACGATATTTGTTGATAGGCAAATTTCTATCATTTTTGGAGTTAATAGGTTTATTTTGTGCTTGAAGATCTGTGTCAGAGTTTAGTTGAGAGGGTATGATTGTGTTGGTGATAGGAGGACCGACATCAACTTTCTTGGTTTTGTTCTTCTTAGTAGGGTCACCACCGATGTGAAGGTTAGAGTTTTCGAGGACAGAAGTAGTGAAAGTCATGGGGGTAGAAAATTCGAGTAAGAAAATTTTTTTGTGAAAAAGGGGTTTGCAAAAAAGTTTTAAGGAAATTCGAAGAAGAAGAATTTGAAAAAGTGAAAGGTACAAATGATGAGTAGTGGAGAAGTTTATAGGTGGCAGAGTTTGTAGTCATCATTACCTTGAAAACTGACAAAAATATTTGCCGAATCACGGGATAACATGTGTTAGATCATTAAATGTAAGGAGACGTGCGTCCTTTCAAATGTCAGAAACCGTCAAGAACTTTTCCACTAAGGAAAGAGATTTTATCTACTTCCGGTAACATAAGTTTTGTCGCCGAAAAATAGGAAGAATATTTGTATTGGGGTAAAATTAATGAGTCACGGGTGGATGCTCGGCGAATTGACATGTGAAAGTAAAGTAAAAGTGAGATATGAGTCAGCAAATAGCTGGCACCAGTTATGAACATGTAATTGGTGTTGAATAAGTTCCGAAGGCATTGGGTGGGCGGCTGTTTGAGTTAATTCTTCTAGTACGTACAATTTGAAGAGTTAACCCAAATAGCGACACTAAAAGTGCCCATCATGGATGCATTGGACATGCTACATGGACCCATCGAGCCCGTTAAAACTGCTCAGTACATTAAATTGGGGCAAGTGCACAGATAGCCATTCTCAGAAATGCTATTGAGAAATTAGCCAATACTTATTTTGTTATGAAATTTTTAAACTAAAAAAATTAACTTTAGTACATTTTTGTCCCAAAAAAATGAACTGAAAACTGAAATTTAATTTGCACTTGCTAATTCTTAGACAGCAGCCCATACAGTGGCTACGTGGTGTCATTTCTACTGTCAAATTTGAGCTGCTTAGATTTTAGCCCAAATCCACTAACCCGTCCAAAGTTTAACCCGAATCTATCCCATCCATAGGTGAGTAGTCATTTTCTCCCTTTAACAAACACTAGCTTTCTTTCTTCTCTCTCCCATTTTCTTCTTTTCTTCTTCTTCTATTAAAAGGATACCCCAGCAGATCCATTTCTCTTTGATCTAACAAGGAAGAAAGAAAAAATGGAAGCGTTTTACTTTCTGGTGTTTGGGGCATTGAGTGCAGTAGTAGCTGCATTGGAGCTGAGCAAAACAAGCAAAGATCGAATAACAACCTCACCTGCTTTCAATTCTTTCAAGAACAATTACATCCTAGTCTATTCTCTCATGATGGGTATCTTCCTTTATTCTTTTTCTTTTCTATCATATATAATGCATTACCCTATTTTGAAATTCTTTTATAAGCAATTACATTCTTGTACATTCATTCATGGTGGGTGCAACTTTTTTTCTTTATTTTTTGTTTAAATCGATATTATGCATTACCCACTTGTAAAACTTATGGGTCTTGAGGCTTTTGATTTGATAATTTCCATTAAAGATTGCATCTTTTTGTTTTTGATCCAACCATCCAATGTGATAATGTAGTTTGTTTTCTTGAATTCTTCCTTTGTCAAAATTTCAATCATGGTTATGATAGCTTGAGTTAGGCATCTGTTTGCCTTTACACTTTTTTTTTCCAGTCTTTTTTACCAATTCATCATGTACAGCATGGGATGTGTGAGATCATAGCTGGTGAACCAAGTCTAGTATTTAAATGGAGAAGAATAGAGAGGCTGACCCAAACAACAGATTTCGGGGTTATCAAAAGCATATAAATATGTATACATATCATGTATGAATGGTAAACACTAGTAGCGGAGGCAGGAATCCTAACTATGGAATTCAAAAAAAAATGCAAAAATGCTATACCTAGAAGCTTCCCTTGTGTTAAGAGGATTAAACACTGTATGTATAGTATAGAAACAGATAAATTTTTACCCTACTTGCACAGTGCAATTTGCGGACAAAAGGGATTCAATTGAACTGTCTTTATTACCTTTAGCTCCACTGCTGGTAAACACAAAGTTACAGTATATGGAGAATGGTAAATACAAAATTACTTGGGGGAAAATATAAGCAAATCTTGGTTATCTAGCTTTCAGTTAGAATTGGTTATGATACCTCATCCCTGGCCATTAGATCATGTACTTATTTCATGCGTCCTGAACAACCAGAATTCATTTAATTTTTATTTTTAGTTGTTTGCTTTTTAGTTTTTTGAATATCACTCTTGGGTTCTTAACTTTATAATTTTCCATATTGCTCAAATAAACCATGATTTTTCAGTAACAGGGAGTGAGTGCTTAATTGTGACTTCCAAGTTTGGCTTGTCTCATATCTTATAAAGATTATATTAGCTGTTTCTACTATTTTCTGAAGTTAGGTAAAAGAGAATGAAATTATGTTTGCAAGTTTGTAAAAAAGTGTGCTGATAAATTTTGTACGAGCAAAGGGTAATTTTCATTCTTAATCCATAGCAAATATGATTTAAAGATTTAGGATTTATAGAACTGCACGATCACAAAAGAGATTGTTAGTGGAACACCGAAGAACCCAGTTTACAACCTTTAAATTGATTAGCTTGTGCTGAATTTAGATGTGGCACAGAAGATAAGATTAGTGGTTCAAACAACGCATGATCTTAAATTGGAGTACCAGTCTCTACATAAGAAGAAAGGTAATGAATAGATGAACTTTCTCTCGAGTATAATGAAGGTCATGTAAAAGCTTTAATTTTGCGAAAAGAAAGAAATTATCAATATAGTAATTGCTTGGTTTCCCCTCTTATTGATACAAGCTACCACGTGGACATATAAACTCGGTGGATAACGGGTTTCTCCCCTTTTTTCTGAAATGGCATCATGATTTTTAGTTGTTTGGGTATGTATGTGTTTACTTAACTGCTTATCTTTATATCATGCCTCTGTCTACTCATGTATACTGTTGATCGTCCAGAGATTGCAACTTCTAATCCCTGTTCATAGTCACTGATATCCTTTTCTGGCAATAGCTGGTGATTGGCTGCAGGGTCCATATGTCTACTACCTTTACACAACATATGGATATGGGAAGGGTGAGATTGGCCATCTCTTTATTGCTGGCTTTGGATCTTCCATGCTGTTTGGGACAATTGTAGGATCCTTGGCAGACAAACAGTATGCCCACTATATTTTTGTAGCTGGATGCCCTTCTTTTCATTTTTGATGCGTTACATTCACACTCAAATTTCTTTTAGGGGTCGAAAGCGGGCTTGTGTCACGTACTGCATCACTTACATTTTGAGCTGTATCACCAAACATTCTCCTCAGTACAAAATTTTGATGTTGGGCCGTATATTAGGAGGAATTGCCACCTCTCTCCTATTCTCAGCCTTTGAATCTTGGCTTGTTGCAGAGCATAATAAGGTGCTTAAATTCTTCTATTATGACTTGCCTTGGTGTTCTGTTAAGATCCCTGCCAACGATATGGACACATTCCTCTATCAATTATGATTATTTTTTGTGGTTAGAAAGTTATTATTTACAAGATTCTTTATTTTCATTCTTCAGTAATAAACCAGCAAACTGTTCTTCCTTAAGTCTACATTATACATCAAAAGGCCATCTACAACTAAGAATGTGTATCCTTAGTTCACTCATATCTGATGGTAGTATCATGTTCTCTGATATATTCCTTTTTCAATGTATTTGGTTTTGTATCTTATCGTGCAGAGGGGTTTTGATCAACAATGGCTATCATTAACATTCTCAAAAGCAATATTTCTTGGCAATGGTCTTGTGGCTATTTTGGCCGGGCTATTTGGAAATGTTCTTGTGGACACACTAAATCTGGGTCCTGTTTCTCCTTTTGATGCTGCTTCATGCTTCCTTGCTATTGGTATGATCATTATACTGTCATCTTGGACTGAGAATTTTGGTGACCCTTCAGAAAGCAAAGACTTACTTACCCAATTCAAGGGTGCTGCTGTGGCAATTGCTTCTGGTAATTTTCGAAATTTTAGCTTTTGCTCCATCCTTCTGAGCTTATTCATCTCTGCAGAGGTATATCATATTAGATGTTTTAGTAAAAGAAAAAGACCGATTATAATGCAACAGAGAGACATTTTGATCCTTCCTTTACACGTTTTAGTGCTGCAAATTTTCAATTCGATGCAGCCAGCCTTTTCAAAATATCTGACCCATTTGCAGTAGGTTACAATCTTTTTGAATGACGGTGGTATCCGGACCAGCTTACTGCAGTAGGTTACAATCTTATTCTAATTTTTTTGTGTTATTCGAAGGTTTTCTAACAATGATAGTGCAGATGGAACAACTTTTTTGCTTTGTAGGATATTTGGGAGGCTTCTCTAACAGTTCTTCTCTTATGCAATCAGATGAGAAAATTGCATTGTTGGGCGCTATACAGTCACTATTTGAAGGTTCAATGTATACTTTCGTGTTCCTGTGGACTCCTGCTCTGAGCCCTAATTCAGAGGAGATTCCTCATGGCTTCATCTTTGCAACTTTCATGTTGTCTTCAATGTTGGGCAGCTCCCTTGCATCTCGATTACTGGCTCGCTCATCACTCAAAGTTGAGAGCTATATGCAGATTGTTTTTGCAGTATCTGCTGTCTGTCTCTTTATCCCTGTCTTCACAAGTGTAAGGAAGAATAGGGGTTGATTTTATTAAATGCATAACTGCAGGTGTCGTAATTCTATTGTTTCTCACTAGCTCCTATATTTCTTCACTTTAAACAGTTCTTGGTGCCACCTGCTAATGAAAAAGGTGGAGGCATTTCTTTTTCTGGCTGCATTCAGCTTCTTGGTTTTTGTGCATTTGAGGCTTGTGTTGGAATATTTTGGCCTTCTATAATGAAAATGAGGTCCCAGTACATTCCTGAGGAGGCTAGGAGCACAATCATGAACTTTTTCCGCATTCCTCTCAATATCTTTGTATGCGTTGTGTTGTACAACGTGAGTTTCTTTCCAATCTAACTGTTACGTCAACCTAATTAATATTATTATTGTACTTATATATATATTATGTAATTTTAAGCAGGGTAGCTCTAAGAAAAAAAGATACTAGCTTATAACCCTGTCTTGTGGCAGGCAGTGCTAAGTAACAAAGGCACACACAATGTGTGATTGCTCTTTGTATGATTACTGATCCATTTTTCTTTTGTTCAGGTTGACGCATTTCCAATAACTGTTATGTTTGGCATGTGCTCGATTTTCCTCTTTGTGGCATCAGTCTTGCAGAAACGCCTCTCTGTTGTTGCTGAAAAGTCAAGTAAGAATAGCTTCCAATTGTCTTTAGAGTTCTTACTGCGAGTTTGATAGAAAGTTAGTGCAACGAATGATTCATCACTGTAGATATGAGATCATGTGAAAGATAGTTAACTCTGTTATACTAATATAGATTTTGGGGCCAATGTTCCTTGTCTTCATCAAAAACGATAATACTCATTTTAGTAGGTTAGATCTGCGTCCCAAGGTTTGTTGAAGGGTCAACTATTCGGTAGTTGACACAGATATAAGATTTTTTTTCTTTGGTTGATGCATTTGCAGAACCACAAGATTGGGCAACACACAAGGAGAAAGAAATGGAAACGGCGCCCCTAAATGTCTTAAGTTGATGCAAGTCGCTGGACGCGTTAATTCAGCAAGATTATGCAGAACAACTATCAGTTTTCTATACAAAAAAGATCAATGGGCAAATAGGGTACTGCTTATGAAATACTACACCAGTGGTTTTTTCTCGTCAGAAGGATATGAAGAAGTTACCTTCCTGAGCTCATGACTCGGGTTCACGTCATAGTTGAATCTTGATGCAACAAGTAGATTTTGAAACTATGATAATAGGGGTATCCTTCTATCAATATATGAAAGCTGATGCAGCATTGCTACACTGTTTTTTCTGATAATGTAAAAGCATATTTGCCATTTTTGGTTTTTCCTTAATTCATTTATAAAAATGTCTATGATATGTAGAAGACGCTGTTTACCTAGTGCTATTATATTTACTCTGAATAATACTCATTTTCACATGTTGGTATATTAACAGTCCTGGCAATAATTAAGCAAGATAGACGCTTAACTTGAAGAAATTAACAGGAGTTATGAAGCAACAAGGAAGAAGATTAGAGAAAGGTTGAGTTTTTCTAGGAGTAGACTATAGAGTATAGAGTAAGGAGTAACATTCTAAGGTGCCAAAAAAGAAACCAAAAGAAGGGCCTAAAATGTTGACCAAAACTGTGCAAATTAAATCGGTGGTGCAGCAAACAATTTCATACTTTTATGCTGTATATTTGTAGATAATGTGCTAGTCTACATCACATGTAAGTTGACTCTCATCATTGTTTAACTAATTATGACTTACCATTTCATTAAACAATTAGAATTGACCATTTGGGATCCCGAAAAATGAAGGGTTTCACAAGGTTCGTGTAAAAATGGAATCTCAGCGTGTGTTCTTTTTCATTTAGTTCTTGTGTTAGACTGACTGAATATCTTAAATGGAGTGATATGAATAAGAAAGATTTATACCATTGACATTAACTTACTCGAGATTGAAACATTGTTATTGTTAACAGCAACAAAATTACAAAAAGAAAAAACAACTGAAATAAATAAGGGCAAGGCACATGGTGACATGTTGTATAAACTAAAATTATATGCAAACTGAGGAACCATTTCCTGCTCTAGTCCTTTCCATTCCCATGTTAAGCTGCATCCAGTGTTTCTTTGTCCAACTGTCCATGTGCTATTGTTATTCGTATAATATAATTGACCCTACCCAACTCCACACTTTGTTCCTTTGCTCGAGATCCATTTTTGCCCTTGACGGCAAGCAACTTTCTTCTAGGTAATTATGCTATTATGGAAATGATAAAGGGCATTTTAGTAACTCTACATGTCTGGTTTACTGTGCCACTCAGTGATATAGGTGCTAATTTCTTCCTTCTAAAAAGTTGTGTATTTCCACTCAATTTTGTCATAAGGGAAACAAAGAGTGAAGAGAGACGAAGTTGCGCAAGTCATGGCTACTCTTAGAATTCCAAGAAAGTACCATTCTTGGTACATTCTTTTTCAGTTCTTTCTATTAATACAAACCAAAGTGTTGTGTTATCAGTACAAAGTTGGAGATTTAAGTGCTTGGAATGTGCCCTCTTCTGCAAATAAAGATGTCTATACCAATTGGTCCAAGAATCATGTCTTCAAAATTGGAGATTCAATCAGTAAGCCTCCCATTTCTTGCTTAGATCTTCAAGATTTTCCCATTCTTACATACCCTTTAATAAAATATTCAACCCCATCAATCTGGCTCTTGAATTAATCTTTTTTTTTTTGCAGTGTTTTTGTTCCCACCAAGTGAAGATTCAGTAATACAAGTGACGAAAGCGAATTACAATAGTTGCAACCTTAAAAATCCAATCTTGTACATGAACAATGGAAATTCTCTATTCAACATTACAAAACCTGGGGAATTTTACTTCACAAGTGGAGCAGAAGGACACTGTGAAAAGTCACAGAAACTTCACATTTCAATACCAGGAGGAAATGGAACAACTTATGAAGAAGATTCACCTGCTTTTGCTCCATCTGCAGATTCACCTGCTTACCCTACTGTTTTTGGCTCAATTCCTGTCCAATCTGCTAATCAATCATCTTCTGTGAAATTGCATATCTCTATTTTTGCTGCTATTGGATCAGTGTTTCTCACACTGCTTCTAGGAAGCACCATTTTTTAGAGAAGTAATAGTACTACATTTGGAACAGTACATTTTGAGATTTCATTCATATTTTTTGTTGTATTGAGCCATTATATTTTGTCTGTCTGTTGTTAAATTTGTGAAGAGTTCATTCATGATGATGAGTTTATTGGGGGGAGCTTACCGTTTTCCCTTGAGCAAAATTATTGAGTTTCTTGTACTATAGTCAATATTTTTGTGTCATCCATCTCATTCTTTTTAGACATCTAATTCTCTCGCTCTCTCCCTCCTGCTTTTTCAATTTCATTCTTTTTTCTTTTTCCTTTTTTGTGTTGGTTGTCATAATTTTTAAATCTATACCCCGGTATATATGAAGATATAGAAGCTATGAATAACAGTAAACTGTCAAGGCCATCTAAAAAAAGTAAAAGTTAATTCTGGACTGTAAGGTTCGAGGGAAAAGAAAAAAATAAAGGAGAACAATAGGAAATACAAATTTAAAATTGAGCAAAATCTCATAACTAGGTCGTGCACTAAGTCGAAGAAAGGCCAAATCATAAGTATTTATTATACCTGCATAACTGAGGTAACTCGCTTTTATCTTCACTTTTATTTTCCTTATATCTTCGCGTCACCCCCTAAGAAAAACTAAAATAGAATAAAATATATTTATATGAGAGAAATAGTTGGATGGAGGTGCGAGGCTATAGCTCCAAAAAAGGCAAAAACCCCACGAGACAATCCAATAACCATCATAGCACTGGACTTCGAGGATTTCAAGACTTGCCTTCTTTGAATATTTTCCGAGTAAAAGCATTTCACAAGTTTAATAGTAACTCAAAAAGACAATACATCAGTGCCCAATATTATAATTATAATAGTATTGTTTTAGCATATGCATGCTAGCTGTAGCCAGCAATTCGCCGACAACACTTTGCACCTTTCTCGTTAAAAGGCACCAAGGGGTCGTTGAATTAAAATCTTTATTAAACCCACAAGATAAGTGATGAAGGATTTAAACTTGGATATATAAATTGACGAAATGTCATTTGCAGTTTGTTATAATATGAACAAAATATTACATGAAGTTTCATGACTTAGTATACTTAAACAAGATTTAAAGAAAACATTAAATTAAAAAAAGCACTTCAAAATTAGTATCCTCTTCGATCTACTTTAATTGATGTTTTAGTTATTTTTACACATAATAAAAAAATCCACCTTTTAACATTAATTAATAATAAAATTGACTATATTAACCTTAATTTGTTCCTTGAAAGTATAACAAATACTCCTATGCTCTTTACTCCAAGGGCAACTTTAAAAAAAGAAGTTAATTCCTTCTTAATATACGAAAGAACAAAATATTTGTTGACCACAAAAAAAGACCAATAAATCAATTAAAGTGGACAGGAAGGAGTAAGATTCGAGGAAAAGAAAAGAAAAATAAAATGATACGAGTGTCAAATTATACACCCAAAATCATATCCCAATTTTTTTACAACTGACCTTTACTCATAAAAATAACTGCTTATATAATTTAATATTGACCTAGTTAAAACTAAGTAATCTGGGTGTAAACACTAGGAGGGGTTCAGTTGAGTGCTTCCAATGGAAAACCATACAGAAAAGTGGTAAACTGCAGTAGCCAGAAAAAGAGTAGGTGTTTGATCATTCTTGAGCTATGACGTAGATTACACTTGCACCCAACACTGGGCAGCCACTCACTAAGCGGACGAAGTCTGCAAAAGGGATATATGTCCTAACAAGTTACATGTATATGACACAATACCTAATCTTCAGCAAACAACAAACAAGGGAGAGTATTACATTCTATCAACCTGCTATTCTTAAGACTGCTGTTAGGCTCCTTTTTTATGGCTAATTGCAGGCACATTGTGACTCGTCCTGCCACCCGAGAATCTTAATGGAAATAATACTCCACACCCATCTGCAAAAAGCTTGTCGGAGACAGGTAGAAATAGGCAGGGCAAAACTACGTGGACGAACCAAGTGTTACTGGAAAATAACTAGTTCTTGAAACAAAGTTATTAGCTTGCCATCTCCACATCGCTTTTTACTGCTTTTCCTTCAGTTGCACAGGCTGCATCTGGAGCTGTGGCCTCAGCGAACTGGGTCCCTGCAGTCTTTAGTTCCCCTCCTGCAAATGCATTCTTCATTTGATTAGAACTTGAATCTACTTCCATTGCGGACGCCCTTGGAGGTGATGCAGGTTGCACCTCCACATCTGGATATGCAGCCTTGAACCGCGCCCTAAGCCCTTCATCAACTAATCGTACCCCTTGTAGTTGGTTTCCAAGTGCCATCCACCTGATACATTTATGGATTGTTATATTGAGAATCTATCTTAACTAAGTGCAATGGAAAAATATGATGACATTAAATCATTTCTCTACGAATGGTGTCTGATAATGTTTACTAATTACTCTCTTCACTAAAAAAAAAAACTTGAGAATTTTTCTGTTTCTCTTTTTTGGGGAGAACATACAAGAGAAGAGAATTAATTAGTATTCCACTAAATATGGGGATATTATCAAGCTTTTATTTTTAAAATTAAAAAAGAAAAAAAGACTTTCATCTACTGGTACTAGCACTGACCCACAAACCTAATATTTCAAGCAGAAAGGACTAATTTTTGACATCACATATGGTAGGATCATATTCTTATGTTCTAAGATGTGATAAGGAAGTACTTTAAATCAAAAACATAAATTATTAGTAGAAGTTAGAAGCCCAAAACAGTTCCCTCCATATGTGATTGTGCGGGTTCAACATTCTTAAAAACCATGTTTAATAGTCTCTGACTTTCAGTTGAAGATCAGCAAGTAGATCAAGAATGCATACCCAGCATGAACATTGTGCATCCGAGCAAATAACTCCAACTTTCTTGTCCTTGGACTAATTCTTTCGAGCAAGGGATACATCTAACATGTCAAAGCAAAAGCATTGTTTATGTATAACCCAACAACAGTTAAAGTACCAAGAAAAAATAAGAATAGATGCTAAAATAGTACTCCCTCTGTCCCAATTTGTTATACGGATTTCAAGAGTCAAACTTCTTAATTTTGACCATGAATTCGAACATAGTATTAAAGTTTTTTTGAAATAAAAATTATATATTTGGAAACTACATAAAAAGTACTATAAGTCACAATAATTAACAATTCAAAATATTCAAAAGGCATATGCAAAAATCGTGGTCAGAGAAAAAGGTCGTTTGACTCTTGAAATCCGAATTGTATCAAACAAATTGGGCTTGACTCTTGAAATCAGAACTGTGTCAAACAAATTGGGTTTGACTCTTGAAATCCAAACTATATTAAACAAATTGGGACGGAGGGAGTAACATAGAATCACAACCACTAAACTTAATGTAACACTAAGGGTCGTTTGGTTGGGAAACAAGTTAACTAGGATTAATTATTCCGGAATTAGTTATCCTGGGATTGTCATCCCACCCTCCCGTAGAGATAAAAATAATACTACAATCCCCGGATAACTAATCCCGGGATTAGTTATACAGCGATTTTATCCTAACCAAACGTGGGATAAACTCATCTCAAATTTAATCCGGGGATTATCCCTCATCTCTCCTACCAAACGAGCCCTAAGAGTACAGACATTTTATAAAATTAGGCTATTCCATGAACATCAATAAACGTGTCTACGCTTTGAAGCTTTCAGTTTCTAGCTTGTTTTTTCTTTTACGAAAAAAACAGAAGAATCTAAATTTTTCTCACCTCATCTGGCTTACGACTCGTTTCCCGAACCTCTGCTACAATGACATCAGTATCAATATTCCTGTTTACCTCTGGATTTCCCTTTATTCCAACAAGGCAGTGTTCCTTACTGTGATTGAGCCAATGGCCTGTCCGACCAGTTCTGATGATTCGCTGAAGTTGATTGGTCTTAACCCAAATGATCTCCTCAACACGTTTGTAACCCCAAAGTTCTAGACTGCAAGAATGGTACCAATGTAATGGAACTTAGCAGTCATAACTCTTTTATTCACAGAGTAGGAATTATATAATTTTAAAACATAAAACCAAATGATGACCTGAGTCTTCAGAGTTCTGTCAACTTCACCACAAAATAGAACAAGTAAAATTTGCCCCAAGGTTAACAACGCAAGCTCCTATATTTTTTTTAATAAGCTTCTAGTGCTTGGTTCAATAATTTAAAGAAACATTCCGACTTGCCTATTCAGTAATTAACAATTCATAGCTCAGGCTCTCTTTTACCACTGAAATTATTACAGGTGTATAGCAAACTCTAAGCCCATCATTATGACTAGGGGTGGCAAAATGGTTAAAAGAAAACAGTTAAGCACCCATATTATCCACTAAAAATGGGTTGAATAATGAACTTTTTAAAAACGGATCAAATATGGATAAGAACCATATTATCCATTTGCCACTCCTAATCATGACAGAAACAACTCTTGAACACATGGTATTGCGATAATACACATAACTAGTAGCCAACAAGCAGTTGGTAGTGACTGGCTTTGTGACAATCAACTATGCATCTTCTGATATTATATTTTTCTTTTTGGATAAATCAAGTCATCTCAAACTTGTTCCAAACTATTAAATTATTGAATTGTGTGACCCTCTCTTTAAAAGCTTAAGCTATTAGAGAAGGGATTTTTTTTTTTTAGAAGCAAGAAGTTTATTGCTGGCACCAAGAAGATGCAATGATTACAGAAAAGGGGACACTTTCATTTATTTGTTTGCAAACACACCTCCTCACATGTGGACCTAACTCTTGTTCCAAGCACATAGAGATATATTTGATGACGGCTCTCAGCACGACTCAAATCTAGGACCTCTGCCTCCCTGATACCATATTTAATTATTTGACCAATCATCCAAAACTTAAGGTAAGAGGTGAGTGTCCCAGCACATTTATGGACCGTTTTGTCTGCCTTTTTATATCCGATGTGAGATACTATCTACCCTCTCGTACATGTAAGCCGGTATTGGGGGTTCACACATAGACCTTAATGCTGATTGTGTGAGAATACGTTCGCCAAAGATTGGGCGTGATTTCACATAATAATTGAAATGTATGAACATTTCATCTAGAAGTTTAAGTTAGTAGAGAACCTCGGAGACCCGGGTTCAAGTTCTAGAAGAAACAAATAAACTATGTGATTCCTTCTCATGATCTGCCTAAACTTTGACAGGTGAGTTACTATCGGTGCTAGTGGGAGGTAGTATGTACACAATGGAATAGTCGAGGTGGGCGCATACTAGCACGGCCACCATCATCATTAAAAAAAGGTTTTAAGTTAATGAAGAGATACACTTCAATTTATTTATTTTGTTTGCAACACAAACAATTGGAAGAAAGATAAGAAGTGATTTTTTAGCCTATGCCCCATTTTTATAGGATCCCCATTACTTACTTCATTTCAACAACCAAAAAAGCCAGGAATTATGTTATCACCGCTAATAATGATGTTCCACAAGAATGATAGTCAAGTCGCTCACTAATAATAATGACATTTCACAGCACAAACTATCAAAGAGCCTTCCATGTTATGCAGCGTCATACTACAGATTTTACACATCTAAGTCAAGCTATACCTGTCTACTTTTGTTATCACCTAGCAGAGAAGATGTTTAATAGATTGAGAGAGAGGGAAGAACTCTAACCATTCCCGCCCAAGCTCCATGGCACGTCCAGTCACCCAAAGGAATATAAGACCATCAGTTTGCAGTGCAGGGACATTTAGAGTGCGCATTTCATCATCAGCCATTGTCCCATAAGGCAATTCCATATGAATATCCCATGGTGGGTCAGCCATTATAATCCCAAACTGCCCTAAAATATCCACTCTAAATGACCGTATGTCACAATTAATCCATTGTGGTTCACCAAGCTCTACTTCTGAACAGTAATGAGCACGCTGAGGCTTCAAAGACTTCGTAGGGGGCAAGGTAGCTGCTCCCATCATCATGGGTGATACATCTGGTGTCGAGTCAAGCTCATAATGGACATATTTGCATGTCTGCCAATTAGATGAGTGTAAGTAATCTATTTCCAGCAGATGAAAGCAAATCCTTGGGTAAACAAATTAGTCATGGAAATTACCTTCATGTGACGGCAAGTATCAAGAAAAGAGCAATCACCTAAGTTGACATCAGTATGCACAGCAATTATTCGCCGAAAATGAACCTAAAATGCATCATAATAAAGTTATCGTATCAATCTGAAATAAAGGTAATGCTTAACTAGTGCTTTTAAAAGAGAGAAAACGCAAAAAGTGGCGGGATCCATGGAGCTTGAAGCACATGCTTCTTTAAAGGAAGTGCAAAGTTAAAGAAAATTAAATATCATACATATAAGAATTAGTACAATGATAATCAAAATTCCAATGAAATAATTAATTTTAACTTCCAATATGCTACAATGCCGATACCAATCCACCTCCTCAAAGTTGAGAATCAAAAAAATCCACTATTTCTCGTTGGGTCAATTTCTGTGTCATTGTTTGAATTGCACACTTAGCTGAAACCTGTAGCTTCGCCCATGAAGCGACAACCCCTCGCTTAGCCCATGAAGCGACAACCCCTCGCTTAGCCCATGAAGCGATAAGTTACAAATCAATGGCTTTTAATAAAATTGTGATTAACGCCATCTACAATCTTCATTAATGATTAGGATTACTATTCTATGTTCGAAACAAATAACAATTTTCAGAACTCTAATTGTCATAAGATATTTAAAGCAGTGACACCTAAAATGACTTGGTCTAACCTTATCACAAGCAATATAGGAACCAGACTGGCGTCGACAATCTTCCTTTGTTAAAGCTGAACAATATTCCTTCACCTGGGAACCACCTTTGCTTTTGAACTGAAATACCATTCAAATAAAAACCACCAATTATGAGATAATGTGCTACAAAAGTTTTGGGAAAGAAACAAGAGATAAGAAAACACGTGCAGCAGAGCAACATAGCAAATTCAATCAATATGGAGAAGAGAACCCATTTCAACTAAAAGGCTACAAAACGAAGTCAGGGAGAAGAAATGAATTTGGGCACTGCAATTGAAGTAGAAATAGGAAATTCTGTGACTTAGCAAGTTTCACTTATTTCCATAATGCAATGTACCAAAGAATACAAATTAATCAGCTCATGATATCTGCGATAACTTTATATTAGAAGTCAGCATCTATTTGTTCAATAAAATTATCAATTAAAGCATATGATGAGATGAAATCGACAAAGGTGGAATATCCAATACCCTTGCAGCGACAGCAGATTCCTTTGCGGTAGGTCGATGAATAAGGTCCAACAACTCCTCCCCGGTTTTCGATTTTTGCATTTCCTTAAAACTCTTTTTATTCAACATATTCTCCAAATCCTTCATGTCATCTTCTTCTGTCCTAGGTTTCAAAGCAATAGAATTTCCTCCTCCTACAAACCCACCATTTGGCCCCATTGGTGGTCTAGGCATCGGAGGTGGAACACCAACACCTCTAGGCATCCCCATCATACCCACCATACCTCTATGCCCACCTCTCGGACCCATATTGCCGGGAAACATAGCTGTCATCCCCTGCATATGTGAATGCTCCCACATTTCACTCACTGCCCTTCCCATTCCCATAAATCCTCCATTATCACTCCCTCTTTTCACCATTTCCTGATTATTATTATTATTCCGATTACCTCCACTTACACTACTCCCCTCATTTTGCTTACTTTCGGGTAACTCTTTCAATAGCCTAGTCCTATCAATATTCAACACCATAACCCTAGATTTCCCACTAACAACAAAATTCTCCAATTCTACACAAGCATTATCCTCCGCCATTGATTTTAACGCCATTTCCACAGCCATTATCGGCCCCGACTCCCCTCCGAGCTCCCTAATCGCTGCCTTTTCAGCAGCCGTATGCGACTGATCATTCTCTAACTTCCTTAACAAAGTAGACGAATCAATAGCCGTAAACGGCACTCTCTCTAACAAACACACTGCAACCATAGCCCTTACGACCGACAACGGCCCCCCACAATCATCAATTACCATTTTATCCCGCTCATTAACGCTTCCAGAAGCTTCTGAAACAGGTTTTGCGTGTGCACCGCTGCTAGAATTGGGGTTAATCTTCGGGGGGACGAGTAAATTAGGGTTAGGGTTAGGGTTAGGGGTGTTAGGTAGGGGGTTGGGTAAAGGGGTAAACGGTTTCCCATTGAAGGACGAAATGGTCTTGAGGGAGAGGTCGAGTGAAGAGACGATGTCGGGAACCAGGGTTTGTAGAGAGGCGATGAGTTCCAATTGAGCATTGTGCAGGGTTTGTATACGGGTTTCATGTTGTTGCCGGAGTTCCTTGACGGCGGCGATTTCGTCGGTGCCGTCCGAGTGAGTTTCCATTGTTGATACTTCTTTCAATCTTAGCTTCAGATCGCGAGGTTTAATTATTATCAGCGGGAAGGGTTTTTGTGAGGGGTTTTTGCTGATTCTTCTACATTTTTTTTTTTAAAATTTAAAGGATAAATTACACTTTTTTTTTTCCTCATCAAGGATAAATTACACTAACCACTCCTATTATATGACTCAATTGCAAACATAACCTTTATATTTTAAAATCTGAATTTATACTTCATTTATTCTGAAAATACTATGCAAATATTAATTTTAACAATACAATTTCCTTTTTACAAGGGTATTAAGTATTTAGATTTTAGAAACACTTATTTCTACTTTGGGTCCCGAACGCAAGAGTTCAATATGTGCACATACAATGAGGAGTTCATTAAACATGCGGTTATTCAACTATCCAAAATTACGAAGTAAATCACTTTTCTTCTATTTATAACAAAAATATCATTCAATCGGAATTATTAAACTTTCCAGTGTAAAAATGGGTTGTGACAGTCCATGTGGTTTTTATAATTTTGGACCAAATAAAAATAAACACCCAAACAAAACATAGAAATCTCACTCATACACCCAACCTAACCCGCTAAAAGTAAAAATTCACCCGCTAAATAAAATCAAATGCGAAAACGCATCCGTATTGCAAATGCATCTCTCTTCTTCTTATAAAAAGCATCTTTTTTTTTAATAGCTTCTTTTGTCCTTAATCTCTTACCCATTATTAATTTATAAAAAGTAGAACAAAACCCGTAAAAAGAAAAATACATATTATTGAGAGAAAAAAAGAATACAGGTCACTCTAGTCTTTAGTCCTTAATTTCATATCCATTATTATTTTATAAAACTAGAGTAAAACTATGAAAATTGTAGTCTGCTTTTTATAAGAAGAAAAGATGTGTATTTACAACAGGGATGTGTTTTAGGTGTTTGGTTTTATTTAGGGGTGGATTTTTATTTTTAGTGGGTCAGGTTGGATGTATGAGTGAATTTTTTATGTTTTGTTTTGGTGGTAATTATTTTATTTGATCCAACAATATAAAAAGTCTATGTGGATTGTCACGTCACTTCATCGGAAAGTTTGATAATTCCAGTTGAGTGATCATGTGTGTGCAATATGAATAGTTGAGTTACTTTTGTGTTACAAACGAAAGAAAAGTAGTTTTAGCCTATAATTTTGGATAGTTAGGCGATCATCTAAGTAATGGACTCGTGCACATACCTTTCTGTAAAAACTTAAGTTCAACAATCAATTGCTTTTATGCAATTTATCAAATTTAAATTAATGTAATAGTTTGAAAGTTTTTTAATTAAAATGTTCTTTATAATATGTCTAGAACCACTAATTGTAAATTTTTTTATACTTCCTCTTCTTTTCTTTTTTTGTCTTGAAATGTAAATAGTCTATAATGGAGCTTGAATAGAAAGTATTTTAATTTATTTTTCGGGGTAAGGACCTAGGGTTAATTCCTATCAATAAAAAAAATTAGAAAAATTTCGTAAATATATCTTCGGTATGAAAATCGAAAGAATCCAATTCGAGCAAGTTTTCAATTCAAAAATTTCTTGGAACTGATTAAACTTTTTCGATCCAAAGAAATTCATTGTCTGTAGGATTCTTTCATAGAAACCGCAAAAAAGGTATGTTGCTGCCATTTAAAAAGGATTAAAATGCACCGTAGTAAAGTCTAAACCCAATGATTTTTTAACTATGATATTATTAAATAGTTTTAATATATATAAACCAAAATTAAATTGGATAAAGTGCTTTAACATATACTAATGGTATTATTGGAAAATAAAAATAAATATTTATTTATCTAATATAAAACCAAATACGTTTGCTGCACCACATAACCATACTTGGTATTTGGTAACAAGTAGAATAAATCGATATTATTATAATTACTATTATAAAACAATAAAAGAAGAAGAATATTACAGAAAAAAGTAGAGAGAGAATTCTTATTGATTTGGGATGAATTACAATGGAATAGAACTCCTCTATTTATAAGAAAAAAGTGACTTAGCCACCAAATAACAAACCCTAAGATCTCTCTAAAATATAGACATTCACCATAAATAAAATACTATTTATAACACTCCCTCTTGAATGTTTATTCAACAGATAATGTACCTCGTTAAAACCTTAATTAAAATAAAAATTTGTGTAATTAAAAAAAAGGAAAAAGAGTACGCATATCTAACGATACGCCTTTTTGTTGCCTCGTTAAAGACCTTGCAAGGAAAACCTAGTGGGACAAAACCTTGTAAGAAAAAAAAAGTACAAGGCGTATTAACTCCCCCTGATGACACAATCAATTCACATCTTTGAGCCTTCATTCCAATCTTGTGCACCATCTTCAAAAGATCGTTGGTAGATATTTGATAAACAAATCATCCATATTAACTTGAATGAATATGTTGCACCTTGAAATCATTATTCTTGATAGATAGATATATAATGTCTTCATATAATATCGTGGAATGGCTTTTCACTATCTCCATAGAGGTAAAAATTCTCAATATCACATTATCATGCTTATAGTTATAACAAGATACATATGTGCATAAATTGCACTTAGGATATGGTACTTCAAGACCATAAATTATATATGTTTTAAGCGAATTAAATTCTTCAGAGATTGTCATATAAGCTATATGAATGACTTTAGATGCATATCAAGTTTTTATGTCATGCTAGACAAATAAGATAAATAAAGGTGATTGCACACACAATTGACTTAGTACTTTCTACATGTCCAAAACTACATGTCTTTCATATGAAACCAATTCTATTTGAATTGTGTCTCTTCTATTTAGCCAATATTTTTGTGTCTGTATTTGACATACTTAATGTCCTAATTCATACTTAGCGCTATGATAAATGTCGTCGACGAATATTTTATATCGGTTCCAATATTTTTTTATAAAGACATGACATAAAGATCACTTCATTCATATTTTCAGGGACCTGAACCTCTCCTGAGACTTTATGAAGTGTTATGTTATGTGATCTTCTAGATCACATGCCTTCTTATTATGATCATTTATTTGAAACCGATTTGTCTATACGCTTTAAGCGTACTATAGACTTTGTCCTTCTAGGACTTATTCTAATAGGAGCATTTCAGTGAGAATATAGTTACTTTCTTTGGGTCAGCAAATGCGTCTAAAATGCTTTGCAATATATTACAGATGAATTATCTTTTATGAAATTCAAGTTCATATTATCTTATTCGATGATCCAGATGTACAAATGATAATTCATTCCATGTAATATTTTCTCAACTATTGTATTTTGTCTCCCCCTCATGTTAGAAAAACTAACTTGCTTCCTCAACTTTGGAAACTCATCTTTGTGCATTATAGTGCTAATCAAAACATGCGCTGCACATTAATAATAATAAGATGGAATTATTTGGTTCCTGACCCTGAAGCACTTGTGAGGGGAGAATGTAATATACTTTCGTATATTAACGTATATCAAACTGATATAGATAACTTTGTTCTCATACGCAATAGCTTAACTATTAAATGGAAGCACTCAATAAATCATCTTGCTAAATCAGTTGTGATGTAAACCAACTTATCAAGATGAACTGTATTGAATAGAAAATATGGAACTTATGCTCAAAATTAAATTTTTGAGCAAATTACCTCGCAAACATCAGGTTGCGGGTTAATAATAATCGTACATGTAACCATCTCATAGATGCATCTTATGTGGTATACATGGCAGGTGAATGGACTCATATTCACCTTTGATATTTCCAACATTCATGAGATTCAATCATAATTTTAGTTGGTCTATTAATTAATGAGAACGAGTAACATAAGAGAATTCGTAAATAACTTTCTAGTTCTTTAATATTTACCCATGTGAATTCTCTTTTATTTTTGCACATCATATTTAAATTGATATGGCTAGACCAGTTATGTCAACTTGACAAATTATCAATATTGATAAACTTCAGGTTTACACCATGACGTGTGCAATTATCAATAAACTCCGAGTTTAATATGATATGTGTTTTTATATCAATAAATTTATACTTTATTGTGACATTCTTTTATTTATGTAGTACAGGCTGGAGAATAAAGCGGGTAGCTTTTCACATATATATCACCCCGCTACAAATTGTAGTAATGGAATATATTAAATTTTTTCTTTATTTTTAGTCTGAATATAACCAACCGCTTTCGCGAATACCTTAGAAACTCAATAAGTTTCTTTGAGACTTACTACGACACAATACATTATTGATAATCAATTTTATTCCTCCAAAATAGTAATAATTGGCTCTTTCTGAGCTTTCAATTAATTGGTACTACCACATATTCATCAACATCCTTATGGTGAATATCTTTCTAAAAGAGAAAGTTATACCATTATGGTCATGGTCAAAATTATATGCAAGATCTGTTTCTTGCATTACTGTTGTCCTTAAATAATCACATTGCCAAAATATTTTGGCATACAATAGGTACGTGACCAGTGATCATTCATGCCATAATAATGACATTATTTTCTTATTTCCTCTCAAACCTCTTTCTAGAGGTGAGTGTGGTATATTCACTATCACTAGCACGTTTTATTATTTCAAGAATGAATATATATTCATAAACACATGTTGTCACATACACATCATGAATGTACCACAATAATCTATATGTGCTTTACAAAATCTCATGTCAAATTGATGACAAATATTACTTTCACAAAGTGAAGGATTATTTTGAGAATCCTTATTGTTCTCATTACCATAATGATAACGATTATAATTTCGTCTATTGTCACGTCCACATCCATTGATACATTCATAGTAATAATTTTGTCTTTTTTCAGACGTATTACATACTGCTATCATATTCTCTTAAGGGAATGAGAATGAAGCAAATTTAATGGGACGAGTTTCCACTTTTTGTGCTCATAATCATACATGAATTTAATCATGACAAGGCATAGAAATGTTACTACTTCGGGAGGTTATAATTTCTTGCAAACTCTATTAGAGTTATAAATAAAATTTATTATCTTTGCTTGTATTTAAAATCAAATTATTGAATTTCAAGAATTTAAAAGAGAAAAATAAAGTAAAATTCTTACCTTAAATCCA